GGCCTATCATTGGGGAGGCGGGAGGAGGCGAGCGGATTCCGCATTGGGAAGTTATACCCTTGATGTAATATGGACGAGGTGAGCTGGGTGCAGCACACCCAACATGGCACAAGTATACATACTTAACCAAAACCTGCATGTTATGCACATGTACCCCTACAAAATATAATAAGTAATAATAACATCACATAAATAGAAAGTTTAAAAAAAAAATAAAATAAAATAAAATAAAATAAAAAAGAAAAGGATTAATTCAAAGTCTGTGAATAGAACAGCTGACTACCACTACCCTCCACCCCCTGCTCACACACTCAAGGGAAGAACACCTGGAACTAGGAGTTTACTTCCCAACAAACAAAGATAAGACAAGTCCTTCTCTAAAGAAATAGAATGAACTGTTTGGGAACAACAGAGGGATGGTGCTGGTGACCCAGAACAAAGACGCATGTATTTTGGCATTTTTTAGGGGCCACCAGTAAACTGCTAGTTTCCCAACAGTTGAGAAAAGTGAAGTGAAACCAATCAAGTGACAAGAACCATCCACATATCCATTTGGTTTTCTACTGTTTCATTAGTCTTTTTATTGTCTCATTTGTAAATTCTTAAATGTCATCAGACTTTTGGAAAAAGAGTATCATGAGAGAGATCTAAAAGTTTTTTATATATAAAAAAAAAAGGAAGAAAAAAATTGGTTTGGGCGCAGTGGCTCACACCTGTAATCCCAGTAGTTTGGGAGGACAAGGTGGGAGGACTGCTTGAGCCCAGGAGTTCAAAAGCCCAGGAGCCTAGGCAGCACAGGGAGACCCCAACTACACACATACACACACACACACACACACACACACAAATTAGCTATGTGCTGTGGTCCCAGCTACTTGTGAGGCTGAGGTGGGAGATTGCTTGAGCCTGGGAGGTCGAGGCTGCAGTGAGTTCTGATTGTGCCACTGCACTCCAGCATCAGCAACAAAGCAACTGTCTCAAAAAAAAAAAAAAAAAAAAACCAGGCCAGTTGGAAACAATAAATTGAAACACTGAAAAAAAAAAAAGAAAAAATTTTTATAGGTATTTTCAGATATTTGATGATAGGAACACTTGGGGAATACTTTTTAAAATTCTTGAAAATTAAACTTTTAAATGAAGGATTAAAAGATAAAGACCAAAGAAATCTGCCCCCAAAATTGAACAAAACCCAGAAATTGAAGACAGAGTATCAATCTAGGAGGTCCAACAAATCAACAATACAATCAGCAGTACATCCAGACAGACTGGAGAAAATGGAAAGGGGCAGGAGAGAGAGCATTACCAAAGAAATAATATAACAGAATTTTCCAGAGGTAAAGGACATGAGTCTTTGGATTTACAAAGTCTACAACGTACTTAGCACAAAGTACTGGAAGACACAACTAGATGTGTGTGAAGTTTCAAAACACCAAGGATAAGGGGAATCTCTTAAAACTTTCAAGAAAAATAAAAAATGTCACTACAGAGGAATAAGTATCAGACTGATGGCAGATTTTCTCTACTAGCAACTCTGACTTATGGAAGACCATGGAGCAAAGCCTTCAAAGTTCTCGGTAAAAATTACTTTCAATCTAAGTTGCTATACCCAGCTGAAACCATTAATCAAAATGACAGAATAAAGGCATTTTTAGACATGTGAGACCATTTTAATGTTTACTTCTAATTTTCTCTTCCTTAAGGGAATATTATTTGCAGATATATTCCAGTAAAAAGAAAAAGAAACACAATGTGGGTTCAAGGAAACAGTGGAACCAGGGTAGCAGTCAAGAAAATTCCAGCATGGCATCTGGGCAGCAGGCCTAGAGACCAACCCATTCAGACTGAAACAAGAAGATAGAAGGCCCTAAGTAGAAGAAATCTGGGGAAAATAGGTTCTTCAGAGAACAGAGATAGGATGAAGAATTTCAAGAAGGGGCCAGGGGGGTGGGGAAGACAACGATAAGGGCAAAGAGTACAACAAGTAGGGTTTTTGGAAACTCCAGGTAAAATTTTAAAGTTGTACAAGAAAAAAACATGCATAAACATATTACTTGACTGTGTAGTGAAAGAACAATTATAAGTCATTACTATTAATGTTTAGAATCAATCTATTAAAAGAGCACTTGAGGTTACAGAACAAATTGTCAATTTAATAACACTGGCGAAGTGAATGTGGGGAGAACAGATAGAGAACAGGTAGTTGGAAAACATCCTTATTTTCCAAATAAAAGGTGAAGATATATAATCTGTCCTATGCTTCACATTTCTGTCAAGTGAAGCTCATCTTACAATATTGGTAAGCAGGGGAATGATGTATAACAAAGAAGTAACTTTTGTTCAGATGCAGTTTTTTCTAGCTCATTAATTGTCTGAACCATGTAAAAAACATCAGCTGAATACAAAGCGCACAAACACAGCTGAACACAGCAAGCCACAGAGGTACACAGCATTCTACATAAAGCCCATATACTCCATGTTCCTCCTCCTCTTTCTTCTCTTTCGTCATTGAGCCCTATCTTGGAAGTGTTTATTGAATATTGCCCTTATGTTCATATCTTATGTCCATAAAAGCCTTAACTCTTTTAGCTTCCTGTATCAAACTACCTTCACTTATTTTTTCGAAAGCATAAAAGTTATATGTTTGTTGTAGTATTTATTAGGAATTTAACATGTCTTTTAGTTGTATTAGTATTTATATTATCAATTATGTTAGTGCTCTACTAATTAGAAGGTTAATATAATTGACTAAATGTGATAAACCAAGGAATAGTATAATATATAATTTACTGATACACAGATAACCATGAGAAGAATAAAAATAGAAATTGTTTAGAAATTTAAAACTAGCTCCTCAAAGAGTTACAAATTAAAACCATAGATAACATTTTTACCTGCCAAATTAGCAAACACTACAAATAAAAACACACATTTCATTTCCTGTGCTGATGAGGTATAGAGAACTAATGGCAGTACGGGTAATAAAATACCTTTTCAGAAGAAACGTAGCAAAGCATATCAAGAACATTCAAAATGTTCATATTCTTTGACTCAGTAATTCTACATGGAAATCTAAGCTAAAGACAATACAACAAGAAGTTTATGTACGAAAATATTCATCAGAGCATTATTTTATTAAATGTTAAAAACAATGGGAATAACATGAATGTCCAACAAATAGGGAATCACCTAACACTTCTACATTGAATATATATTACAGAGTAATTTAAAAGGATGCTTATAAAGAGTTTATATGTTACATACATACAGTATCTGTTTCCATTTTAAAGTGAACAAAGCAAGACATTATTTTAATTACAACTGTGAAAAAACAAGTATTACAAAATACAGTTATCTCCAAGGAATGTGGGATCAATGATCATTCTGTTCTTTCTATATTTCTATAGTTTCCAATTTTACTGTAATGAGTATATATTCTTCACTTAAAAGGTAATACTGAATAAATTGTCAGAAGTTGGAGGAACTATGTTCACTGAATAAATGAACTTCTTTTTATTAAGAAATAAGAAGTTCATACTGCTTGAAGGACTATAAAGGACTTACAAAATTTCTTGAAGGAAAAAATTCTAATTCAAAATATCACAATGTCACTGCCAAAAAAAAAATGGTATTAAGGTACATTGCATTTTGATTTTTTAAAAAATCTTTCCTAACAAAAAGTAGCCGAAATAATTGTATTACTAAATACATTAAAGGTGAGAAAAGAAGACCCTGCTACTTCCTATAACGTATATCACTTAGATTCCTATTTCCTCCACTCACTCTGAAAGACCACAGTCAACAGGACTGGCAATTTCAAGTCCTGCACTCCCAACTAATCAAGTCTTTCCACCTGGAACAAAACAGACTTGAGGTTTGTGAGCCTAGCTTTGCCCCATTGGTCTAAAGGAGACTGAAACTCAACATCAAGATGAGAAAAGTTACCAACTTTATAAACCTACAAAGGGAAAGAATCTTTTTGGCTTGGGCAATCTGTTGCCTTCTGCAATATATAATAAACAATCTTTAATTACTATATACTGTACTGCATAACACTATGAATCTCCCACAAAGACAGATCAGTATGTAGAAAACAGATCGGCTCCTAAGAAAATAATGCTAAGACCTACAATGGATAAAATTCTCTTCTCAGCACACATTTTAGACGTATAGCGAAAGAAGGGTTTAGAAAGGGTAAAAGAGATTTGGATGTATCTCCATCAGAAAAATAATCTTTTAAAATAACAATTCAGAACCTTAAAGCCTGGAATGCTATTATTTTATTAAAATAATTTCCTTTGGTGATGATTTTTAAATTGTGTATATTTTTCTCATAAACAAACTCATTTTCAAAAACCCACTGCAAGTTTTATATAATGTGTAATTCTAAACAGCCAGTAATTATAATGCTTCCAAGAAACAAGTGCATTTCTAATGCAAAACAAACAAAAAAAAACAAACCTTAAATCAAAAAAAAAAAAAAAAAAGCCTTAGATCTTCACTTCTCTTTTAACATTAAAGATCTTTTCTCTCAAGGACCACAAAATATATCTGCAATATCTCTTAGGAATTTAACATGTCTTAAGGACATCTTAATACACAGACTAAATGTATTATCATTTAGTTAATTCTAATTACAGTGATATAATTAAACTGCTATAAATACAACAAAACAATGTCAGATGCTTATTTTATAAGTTTCTCTAAAATGTACTCTATACTACTAATATATTATTTTTCCTGTGCATATAAACTTTATTTCATGGTTTAAAAAGGTTCTTTTCTGTCTTCTATTTTCTGTCCTCTAAAAGTATTATTATGGAAGTGGAAATGATGCCATCATCTTTCAAGTTCCATCTGGTTATATGTATCTTGGGTTGACTGAGAACTCAAATATCTCTTTTTCTCAGAAAATTTAAAAGCTTCTCCCCTGTCTCTCCTCTGGTACCTATGGAAAGCAATTACCTCTTGGACATGAGTAAGCTGGAAAATTCTTTCTGATTATGAAGCAGCCAAGAACATACTTTCTGGTTTCAAACAGACCAGGCCTGAGGTTATATCCTATTGTAACCATGACACCTAGAAATAATCTTATGTACTAAAGTTAATGTAATTTGGATGATTCATTTAACTGCAAAATTGGATAGTAGTTTATTTTAAAAGTTGAGGCAAAGAGACTGTTAACTTCATAAATATTATTTAGCACTGCTGAAAACATAATATCCTGACAAGCACAGAAGACAAAATTATATAAGAGCACTGCTCTAAACATACTCTTTCTTCAAGTTATTTCTACTAAGTAGACTATGGTCATTATACAATACACGCCTGTACAAACACTCATACATAGTACCTTTAATTTTGTATTCTCAAGATTCAGAGTTTCATTTTCATATTCAATTGAGTGAATTTTCCTAAGAATTTCTTCACATGAATTTTTTCCATCGTCTTCCATTTTCTTCAGAGCTTCCAAAAGATTGATGATTTGCCTTTATAAAATGAATGACACATTTTATAAAAGTCATAAAAATTTTTATTCAAATAACACATTTTAAGTGTGTTTTTGAAATCACTTTGGTAGGATGCAATGTTTCAAATAGGGAATACACAACAATAAATAGAACTGATAGAACAAGAAAAATAGGGAGAAGTAATCCAAAAGGGTACAACCAAAGTAACTGTGATTAGAAACAATTACCCACTGATGATACCAACAAAAAATTATCCAACATGCTCTTTGCTGTTCAATAAAACTTCTAAACTATTATCCACAAGTATGCACATCTCTCTCTTCCTCTCATTCATACACATGCACACATATATACACTACTTAAGGGACAAGGTTAAAGAAAAGAATTAAGTGAGGCAATAACAACTAAACTTTAGAAATGAATTATATATGGTAGTTTTCAATGACAAAACTGAAGACACAGAAAACACTTAAAATCAAATATTCAGGGTTCATTATAGTGTTATCAGTAATACATTTCAAATAATAAAATACATGTATTTTTATTTTTCATTTTCTTTGTTATGCATTTAAGTCACTTAAGGAACAATAATTTTTAGGATTTTCAAAGCAGTTGTTATAAATTTTTAAATATATTTTTATACATTCTTGTTTAAAAGAGAAACATCACCTCCATTTAAGAAAAAGTAAATATTAACATTTACTACAAATAATAGATGGCATACTGAAATACTGAATGATAATCTACAAGTTTAAAATTTCAAAATGTGGGCCAGGTGCGGTGGCTCATGCCTGTAAATCCAGCACTTTGGGAGGCCAAGGTGGGCAGATCACAAGCTCAGGAGATTGAGACCATCCTGACCAACATGGTGAAACCGTGTCTCTACTAAAAATACAAAAAAAATAGTTGGGCATGGTGGTGCGTGCCTGTAGTCCCAGCTACTAGGGAGGCTGAGACAGGAGAATTGTTTGAACCCGGGAGGCAGAGGTTGCAATTAGCCAAGATCACACCATTGCACTTCAGCCTGTGCAACAAAGTGAGACACTGCCTCAAAAAAAAAAAAAAAAATCAAAATGTGAACACCAATTCACTTTTAATGAGCAATCATTTTAATTATTTTTAATAGTACGGTAAGAAAACTTTACAGAATTATAAATGCAAAAATATCAAATCATATAGGTAGCACCTTTACCATATGTAATCTAAAAAAATCAAAATACAAACAACTCAAAGAATTTTTTAAAAAGTGAAAACTCTTACTAAATAACAAAAGATTCTAAATTTTTTCTTACTTTTTCATTGTTTCAATCTGTACTTCCAATTCAGTTTTTTCTATTACAATTTTCTCATAATGACTTTTCCAGGCATTGGAAGTTGAAATTGTTTCAGACAACTTGGCTTCCTAAAAAATACATAAAAGTATTCATACTATAATTTTAAAACATTTTTGTTTTGCTTAGATCTCTAAACACAAATACATTATAAAGTGGGAAGCAATCTTCCAAAAAGTATGGAACTTCAAATACAGAAAACTGTACATGCATGTTTATAGCAGTGCAATTCATAATTGCAAAAATATGGAACCAGCCTAAATGCCCATCAACCAATGAGTGGATAAAGAAAATATGGTATATAACCACCATGGAATATACTTAGCCATTAAAAGGAACATCTGCAGCAATCTGGATGAAGTTGGAGATCACTATTCTAAGTGAAGTAACTCAGGAATGGAAAACCAAATATCGTATGTTCTCACTCATAAGTGGGAGCTAAGCTATGAAAACGCAAAAGCATAAGTTTGATATAATGGACTTTGGGAATTTGGGGGAAGGGAGGGAGGGAAGTGAGGGGTAAAAGACTACACATTGGGTACAGTGTACAGTGCTTGGCTGATAGGTGCACCAAAATGTCAGAAATAACCACTAAAGAAGTTTTCCAGGTAACCAGAAACAACCTGTCCCCCAAAAACTATTGAAATAAATAAATAAAGTCAGTGTACAACTTTGAACAGAAAAAATTTAAAGTAAATATCTATATTGCTATTATTTTATATACACATAGTGGAAGTTTCAACTTAACATTTTAAAAGATGTTGCAACTATTTTTAAACAATATTTCATAATTAAGATAAGTTCTGTTCTTTTTACTGAACTTTCCATTTTACTTTTTTTTTTATTTTGCCCTGGCTGAAGTGCAGTGGCACAGTCATGATGGTTCACTGTAGCCTCCAACTCCTGAGTGCAAGGGATCCGCCTGCCTCAGCCTCCCTAGTAGCTAGGGCTACAAATGTGTGCCACCACAGCCACCATATATATATACACACATACGTAAAATATATCTAGATATATATGTATATATATGTCTACATATATCTATTTTATACATATGGTGTATATACTATTTTATATATATATATAGTAGAGGCAGCATCTTGCTATGTTACCCAGGCTGGTCTTGAATTAATTTCATGCTCTATACACAGAAGATGGTAACAACCACATGAGCATCAGAGGAGAAAGCCCCTGTGGTACACACAGAAACTACCCCTAGTTCCAAAGCTCCATAACATTTGGTGATGCACCTTACTTATCTTTGCTATAACGACGCCAAGATCTATTTTATAGAGGTCACCCCATCAGCCTTCAAACACTGCTACTGTCCACAAAGAGACATAAATGATAGTAGTGGCTTATCCATTTTGAATGTGAACTCCCACAAGGTAGGGATTTTAATCTGCTTTTGTTCATAGCTGTATTTCTAGGGCCTTGATAGTGCCTGCAGCACAGCACACACTCAATAAATAGCTCAAATCTATTAACTGCAGATCCACCTAAAGAGCTGTAGCCACTGTGCCTCCTGTCTACATTCTACATAAAAACACACTGGAAGGCAACAATGCCAGTAATTACAAATCAAAAAGCTCAGAAACAGTAATGACAACAATTAACATTTATTGGGTACTTCCTTCTTTCATCGTTCATCCATTTACTGAGCAAGTATTTACTGGGCATGTATTATGCGCAAGACTGTTTTGTTTAAATTTTTTCACAGTAATATTTTTGATATATTAAAGAGTAGTATTTTCATATTTTGTATAAAATAAGCTTTAATATAAATTATGGAGTATAAGTTTATAATATAAATTAAGATATACAGAAGTTTTATCAGTAAGAAAAGAATTTATGTGTTAGCAAGATAATTATTACCTACTTCATCAGTATGGCATTCCTAGATGTCAAAACTAGTCAGTGATGGAATTACCCTCCTAGAGAGTTTTTCGAGTTGGCCTACCTTTCCTCTTTGCTTTAGAGAAATGGCACATCTAAGGCCACCAGAAGCAAAATTAGGATCTAATTTCCAAAGAAGGAAATGGGTTAATTCTTCAGTGTGCAGAATTATAGAGCATTTAACATCCTCACCCCTGGGTACTAAATGTCAGAATCATGTGTCTCTAGTACTTTCCAAATCCTCATTTCTTCTTTCATCTCTCCTTACAACATGCAGATATAAAGCAAAATCCCCCTTTTCACCTTTCCTTCCACTGCACTGAAACTGCATCTGAATTAGTAACTAGTGACCTTCTAATTACAAAAGACCACAGACCTTTACAAATCCTCCTTGTCCTTGATCTCTCTCTGTAGTCCTTGGTAAAATTTATGCATTGTGTAGATATGTGATAACATTTTGTTAAACTATTATTTAGCTCTTATTGCTGAACTGTTCATGTTTTAGATTTAAGATACTGTTTTAAATAATGGTACCCTTACCTTAGGTGAATAGGATAGCAAGCTCCTGCCTTCTGAGACTTATATTCAAGTAGAAGGAAACAGTTAAAAATAAAACAAAACACAACAGCAGTGATAAATGAAAAAATAAATGATACAGTTTCAGATTATAGTGAATGCTATGAAAAAAAATTAAGACATTGATATGATTGTTTTAGGACTACTTCAAAAGGAATGGTCAAGAAAGGCCTCTCTGAAGAGATGTCAATTGAAAAGATACCTGAATGATTAAAAAAAGAAAGAGCTATTGTGAGCCAGGGAAGAACATTAAAGCCAGATGCAGCAACAAACAAGAAAAACAACAAAACAAAGAAAAAAACTTCATGCATTACAGGAACAGAAAGGAGGGCAGTGCAAAAATATATTTTCTCATTTATCTCTCCCTACAAACACATGAGATAGGGAGTATTATGATCCCCTATTTTATACATGAGGAAATTGAAGCTTAAAGAGGTTAAGTTCCTTATCCCAAGTCACAAAGTTAACAAAATACTATTTTGTTTACAATAAGCTTTTATACAAGTCTGTTTTCTTTTCTAAAAGCCTCTAATAATTCTATAAGCCTTAACATAAGTTCTTAAGAGGTAGGATATCAGTCAGACTTTATTTAAAAAATTATTAATTAGTAATTGAATAAATATAATGTGTTGAAAACAACAAAGCACTAAGGCCATTTTCAAATTTGTACTATACCCAAAGATATATTTTACATGATGTGTTTATGTCAGCACATGGTTTTAAATGTATTACTGAGATTAAATGAGGTTAATTACTGAATAAAGTCATAGGGTCTAATAACATAAATCAGCATTTCTCAAACTAGTGTTCCTCAGAACCAGTTCCAAGAGTTGCTCTGTGGGTAAAATAGCAGCTCTGTGGTTAAAAAAGTGTGGGAAACTCTTAGTTCAACACCCTTCGTTCCACTGTTTCTGAAAGCCTTCTCAGAGCCTTTAATTTGCTAACGTAGACCACAATGTCCCAAGAGGAAATGTGTATAATATATTACCCTTAATTAGTTGGCCAATAGAACCTTTTTGTTTGTGTAGGGGGGGACACACTTAATATTTCCTTTAAGTAAAGTTCCCAAGGAAATGCTGATATATTTCAATATGAAAATTTGACATTTTATGTAATATTTCAAAATAAAAGATTTAAAGCAAAAAGTGTAAGTTTTTCTGGTATTAACAGCATTAAGAGAAGAATAAAATTACTATATGAAGGATCATAACATTAATTATATAAACTAAGTACATAAAATATAACTTTTAATTTTAAAAAGAATGAATTTACATACCTGATCTCTAATTTGGGAAGTAAGTTTTTCAGTAGCTCCTGTAAAATGGTCAAGCCTTTGTTTGTAAACTTTAGATGCCTTTTTTAAAGCTACAGCTATTTGCCTACTTGCTTCTTTCATCACTACAGCCTCATTCTTATTCATTCTCAATTGCAGGCTCCACTTGGCTATCTTGGTTTCTAAGCTCTAAAAAAAAAATTAGCAACCATTAAATTATTTCAGAACTCCAATGTTTATGTAAACATTGTAAAAATATGTACATAACTGATATGGTTTGTGTATTACTTCATTCTCACACTGCCATAAAGAAACAACCTAGACTGAGTAATTTATAAAGGAAAGAAGTTTAATTGACTCACAGTTCCACATGGCTGGGAAGATCTCAGGAAACTTACAATCATGGCAGAAGGTGAAGAGGAAGCAAGGACCTTCTTCACATGGTGGCAGGAGAGAGAAGAGTGAGGAGTAAAGGGGGAAGAGCCCCTTATAAAACCATCAGGTCTCACAAGAACTCACTCACTATCATGAGAATAGCATGGGAAAAACCACCCCCATGATCCAATCACCTCCTATCAGGTCTCTCCCTAGACACATGGAGATTATAAGGATTACAATTCAAAATGAGATTTGGGTGGGGACACAGCCAAAACCATAGCATTCTGCCCCTTGCCCCTCCTAAATCTCATGTCATCACATTTCAAAACACAATCATGCCTTTCCAACAGTCCTGCAAAGTCTTAATTCATTCCAGCATTAACCCAAAAGTCCAAGTCTAAAGTCTCATCTGAGACAAGGCAAGTCCCTTCTGCCTAGGAGTCTGTAAAATAAAAAGCAAGTTAATTACTTCCAAGAAACAATGGGGGCACAGGTATTGGGTAAATGTTACCATTCCAAATGGAAGAAATTGACCAAAAAAGGGCAGGCTACAGGACCCATGCAAGTCCAAAATCCAACAGGGCAGTCATTAAATCTTAAAGCTCCTAAATAATCTCCCTTGACTCCATGTTTCACATCATGCTGATGCAAGGAGTGGGCTCCCATGGTCTTTGGCAGCTCCAGCCCTGTGGCCTGCAGGGTACAGCCCCCTTCCTAGCTGTTTTCCCAGGCTGGCATTGAGTATCCCGAGCTCTTCCAGGCACATGGTGCAAGCTGTCAGTGGATCTACCATTCTGGGGTCTGGAGGACTGTGGCCCTCTTCTCACAGCTCCACTAGGCAGTGCTCCAATGGGGACTCTATGTGGGGGCTCCAACCCCACATTTCTCTTCCACACTGCCCCAGCAGAGGTTCTCCATGAGGGCTCTACCCCTGCAGCAAACTTCTGCCTGGACATCCACACATCCCATGAAATCTAGGCTGAGGTTCCCAAGCCTCAATTCTTGACTTCTGTGCACCTGCAAGTCCACCACCACATAGAAGTCGTCAAGGCTTGGGGCATCCACCCTCTGAAAAAATGGCCTGAGCTATACATTGGCCCCTTTTAACCACAACTAGAACACAGGGCACCAAGTCCCAAGACAGTACAAAGCAGCAAGGCCCTAGGCCCAGCCCACAAAACCACTTTTTCCTCCTAGGCCTCTGGGTCTGTGATGGAAGGGGCTGCCATGAAGACCTCTGACATGCCCCAGAGACATTTTCCCCATTGATTAACATTTGACTTCTCATTATTTATGCAAATTTCTGCAGACCACTTGAATTTCTCCCCAGAAAATGGGTGTTTCTTTTCTATCGCAGGGTCAGGCTGCAAATTTTCCAAACTTTTACGCTCTGTTTCCCTTTTAAACATATGTTCCAATTTCAAATCATCACTTTGTGAATGCATAAAACTGAAAGCTTTCAGAATCAACCAGGTCATATCTTGAATGTTTTTCTGCTTAGAAATTTCTTCTACCAGATACCCTAAATCATCTCTTTCAAATTCAAAGTTCCACAGATCTCTAGGGCAGGGGTAAAATACCGTCAGTCTCTTTGCTAAAGCATAGCAAGAGTCACCTTTATTCCAGTTCCCAACAAGTTCCTCATCTGTATCTGAGACCACCTCAGCCAGGACTTCATCATTCATATCACTATCAGCATTTTGCTCAACACCATTCAACAAGCCTCTAGGAAGTTCCAAGCTTTCCCACATCTTCCTGTCTTCTTCTGAGCCATCCAAACTGTTCCAACCTCTGCCAATTACTTAGTTCCAAAGTCACTTCCACATTTGTGGGTATCTTTATAGCAATACCCACTCTCTGCAGTACCAATTAACTGTATTAGTCCATTCTCATGCTGCTATAAAGAAATACTTGAGACTGGGTGATTTACAAAGGGCCAAGTTTTAATTGACTCACAGTTCCACATGGCTAGGGAGGCCTCAGGAAACTTCAATCATGGCAGAAGGCGAGGGGGAAGCAGGGACCTTCTTCACATGGCAGCAGGAGAGAAAAGAGTGAAGAGCCAAGGGGGAAGAGCCTCTTATAAAACCATCAGATCTCACTCACTATCATGAGAACAGGATGGGGGAAACCACCCCCATGATCCAATCACCTCCCATCAGGTCTCTCCCTAAACACATGGGGATTCTTAAGATTACAATTCAAGATGAGATTTCGGTGGGGACACAGCCAAACTATATCGGTTTGGATCTGTGTCCCTACCCAAATTTCATGTCAAACTGTAACCCCCAGTGTTGGCGCTGGGGCCTGGTGGGAGGTGGTTGGATTACAGGGGTTGTTTCTTATGAATGGTTTACAGCATCCTCTTGGTGCTGTTCTCCTGATAGTGAGTTCTCGCAAAATCGGGTTGTTCAAAAGTGTGCAGTACCTCCCTACTTGCTCTCTCTCTTGCTTCTGCTCCCACCATGTGAGATGCCTCACTCCCCGCTTGTCTTCCACCATGACTGCTAAGTTTCCTGAGGCCTCCCCAGAAGCTGAGCAGATGCCAGAATCATGCTTCCTGTATAGCCTGTAGAACTGTGGGCCAATTAAACTTCTCTTCTTTATAAACTATGCAGTCTCATGTATTTCTTCATAACAATGTTAAAATGGCCTAATACAATAATTCTCTATATAGGTTTTATCAAAATGATTAATAAGATTAATTAAAAAAGCAAAATAGAAAGAAAGCAATGGTGACTTCACCAATGCTTCTCTATAACCTGTTAAAGGATGCAAATTTAAAACATATAATCCTATATCAAACTAATGCTACCATTATTAAAGATACTAGTATTAGTGATTATGGTACAAACACTAACTTCCTTAAAACTTCTGTGATTAACTCAGCTTTTTTAGTTCACATCTAGAATATTACACATCTTACTAGTTTTAAAAACTAGTTTAAAAAAACACAATTGAGCTAGAAACAATCTAAATATGTACCAATATTCAAAGGAATTGGTAGCTCCCCAAATATATTAAGACTATTCATTTTGAAAGCTAAAATCTTAAAGATATGATTATAATCTTTAAGAAGGCTATAGATGAGATAAATAGATTTATTTACCAAATTTTAATTTACTAGAATTAGGGGGCATGTCCTGACACTAGAGTTACATTAAAGATAATAAAATACTACTTTATCCAATAAAGTAAATTTATGGAAGTCATTATTCCAAGACCAAACACAGGTTTAGACAAATTAATGACTATAACAGTCATAAGATTAGTATTATTGAGGACACGTTTCTATCATTGAATGTGACTGTAACTAATTGGCATGACTATCTCTTTGGCATACCTCTTGGTGACATGAGAGACAGAATATTAGGCTGGGTAGATGAGGGATATGATTTAAGGTGATGACTCAAATGTTTTTATTTCAAATTATTTTAAGACTTTGTATTTAAAGTATTTGAGTATTAAGTATCTATTAATTTAAAGACTTATGATTTTAATGTTTTTACATTTTTGAAACCTGTGTAATATTGAAATGTGAAATTATTACAGAATTTAAGTTTTGGTCTCCCATTCCTTAGACAGCCATTTTAATTTTTAAAAATTGCAAAGGAGTCACAGTAAAAGCTAAACCTAGGACTTTTCAACTTAACTCTACAATCATCAAAATCTAAGTTTCTTAACTGCCACTAAAATTGAGATTAAGAAGTATATATTAAGATTTAGATTTGATTTTTTTGAAGAGTGACTAAGTAAACTAAGAGAAGGAGCAATACATTCTTAAATTGTTTTTAAAAAAACAAAATCCCATAAAACATAACTAGTTGGGGAAAAACAGCAGTACAATAAGTCGACATAAGACAAAGGAACATCCCACAGGAAACACTGCTGTCATTCCTCTAGAAGTCCACACGGTGTCATCATCACACCATGAATAGTTGCTGTCTTAGGTTAAAAGACTTTTAAACATAGAAAGTAAATGTTCTTTTTGAACACGGTTCCAGACACAATGTTCTCACCAGATTTATCAAATCCCACACTTAGGCACTATCAAGGAGTATACTGAAATGACAAATTATTTTTATAATTTCAAAATAACCTCTCAAGTCATTTGCCAAATGAATGAACACATAAAGTTGATTATCTGTCTTCTTCTATCTCCAAAGGAGTGTCCATATACATGTCACATTTTATACAGACAATTATTCTCAATCTCTTCTGAAAATATGAAAATGTTCTAACTCTAATTGCTACATCACAAAGATCTAGAAAGAAAAACTGGTGCAAGGCATCTGTGGGATAGTTCCCAGAGATTTACAATGTAAATTTTTAAAAGACCCAATACAACAAATTACTCAACACTAAACAGTTGAGACCGATGTTGCCAAATTGAGTTCATTGGATTCACACTCTTAAAAACAAAAACAAAAACAAAACACTGTCAAACCTAAGTCAAAAAGAACAAAATTCTGAACGCCTTAATTACTTAATGCCTTAAATCCAAAAGTCTGTGAGAGAAAATGTAGAAAAATCCATAAACTCAGTTTCTTTTAATCATTTCTTAACAGTAGCATTTTGGTAAAAGAATTTGAATTCAAATTATTAGTAGAATTTCAAAGCAAAATTTTAGGATTTTAGCCTTATGTTCTTTCTCCAAATTATCATGGTTATAAAAAATAAACACTATGCTTTAAGATAAATTGGGAAAGATGATTACCTAATATGTTCAATCACACATCAGATGTATTCAATCACATGTGCTCTCCTGTATTTACTATGACAGACCACTGCAATACCAAGTCCAGTTCATCTGCAGTGCCCTAGCATACAAAATTTACATGCCCCATAAATCTACTTAATGTCCCTTTAAAGGAAGAAACAGACACACACACACAAACTCGAGTACAGTTTTGAAACATGCTACAGGCTGCAGACATCTGTTATGATTCAGGACTGCAAAACCAAACAGAAATCTAATTTAGAAGTCCTCACACTCAACGGAGTTGGAGTCTCTGTAACCTCTCAAGGTGGGAATATTGCTTCTTTGCCTTTGGCGGAAATAAAAAAAAAAAGTTACCTTATATTGTATGACATGCCACCTCAAATTCTCATCTCAAAGTGACTTTGACTCCAAAAGAAGAATTAAATCAAAAAATTCCCCTTAATTATACTCCTACAAAGTTGTTTAATAAGGGAATTACTTAATTTTGTGAACATCAAAGTTGGGCTGATTTTAAAATTATTATGATTAGTAACAAAAAATAAACCTTGTATTGACTGTTAAACATGTGAAAGTATATATGTATGTATGTACAGGCAGAGAAAAAAGACTGAAATAATGTACACCAAAATGTTAACAATGATTTTGGTGTATTTAAATTTATTTTCTATAAATTTTCCACAGTAAATATAAATTAATTATGAAGTGGAAATGATTTTTAAAGTAATTCAATCCCATAAATCCTTCCTAGATTGGTATTAAACAGAGACAGCATTTTTATATTGAAATTTGGACCCAAACCTTTAGTTAGGCCACAAATACTAAGATTTACCTTAAATATGTATTTCCCATGTCAACAACTGTGTATTTTAAAACCATCAAATTCTAGAACTAAGGAATGGCTTTATAGTGTTTCATTAATTTTATCACTTAAGCTATTAAAATGGATATATATTTATATATAACCTTTACGTATTCTTTCAACTTATTGTTCTCGGCTTCCTTTTTATGAATTTGGATCTGTAGTCGTTCATGTACTACTTTTACTGATTGAGAAAAACGGTTTGCTTTCAAAGTATTTGCCTGTAACAAAGAGAAAGAGAAAACCAAAAACAACCATATTATTTGCTGTATCCCCAGCCCAGCACCTCTAATTTTACCCTGATTTAAAAAACAATCTAAACAGCTGATAAAAAGCAAAGCATTACCTTACATAAACTGCCGCCCCTATTACAAATGTATTTCATGCCCAACCAGGGCTAAGTTCTTTCCCCCAACCTTTTTTATTTAATGGTTCCTGATAATCATCTCTTTTTTAAAATTCCCATCTATCTTTATAAAGGTATGGGTATACCTAAAATGTTCCTACAAATACTAACATTCCTTAATTTGTCACCCAACTGAAATACAATACAAATTTAAAACAGTTCCTATATGAAGTGATTTATGCCAAATATCCTGACAAAACACCATAAAACTCTAAAAAAAGCTTAATAAAATTAAGATGTTATATTTGATAGGTAAAAGCTGTAAAATATCCAAATAATCTAGAATTTCAAAACACTTTTCTGTGTTTATTTCTGAGGAGTTGGGGCCAGGATGGGGGGGAAAAAAAAAAAGTCAATATTAATAAAATGAATTAAGCTCAAAAGCTCAAATTTTGCTTACCTTTTCAGTCTGAAACAAACAAGAAAGTTCTTGGATATGGGCCTCCTTTTCAAATACCTTCTTCTTAAGATTCTTGAGCAAATATAAAATAAGAATTAGACATTTCACAACTTGGATAATATTGGCTAATTTTATAAAACCAAGCAGCATGCAAATAACAATGACAGAAAGAATGGACAAAAAGTTAAGTGTGAACTTACAGTATTTTCACTTTCATTATCCATTAAATTTTCTAGCAACATGCTGGGTAAATTGTCTCCTGTCTGAGAAAAGAACGTTATAAATCAGTGATCACAAATTATATTTCTCTATATAAAAAAGTAGGAAGTGGAATAAGCATTACTCAATAAATTAATATGACTTTTAATTCAGATTTTTAAAAGAGTTAACCATTGAAAAGATTTTTGCTCAAGTATTCCAAATTATTTTTGGTCTGCAATTTATGAAATTAGTTAATTTACTAAATTGATCTCAAAAGAATGCTTCAGAAGGTATAGGTCAATGACACTAAAATCACAAAAATCCTCTATACAAAAGAAGTTTGTATGGAGTATAGAATGCAGCACAGTGCTGTTTACAAAGAGGCATATCAACAATCTAAATTCTAGCAATAAGAAATCTCTTAAAGAATTACAGCGAATCAGTAACAGAATTCTATGTAGCCATTTTAAATGAGACCACAGAAGACTATTTATTCATTTTTGAAAGTCATACTTCTGCTTTAGAATGTGAAAAAGTTAATCAATTCTTTTCACCCAAAACCATATATATATGTACATATAACACAAAATTATACACGGAATTTCAGAGGGCTTATGGATTTCATAAAGGCCATCCTTGGATCAATAAGGGTCCAAAGAACTCGAGTTAAGATTCCTTTCTATTCAAAAAATATTCAATACATGAGAAAATATTGACAATACAGTGTTAAGTATAAAAGTCAAGTTACAAAACAAAGAGAGTAGTTTTACTCCATTTTTCTAGAACACCACGCATATATGCACACATAACATATATACAGTAAAGAAACAAAAGACTGCAAAACATACACAACATAAAATTAACAGTCCTTAATCGTGGTGTTTCACGAAGTGCTGAGATCAAGAGAATATTTCTCTGCTTATCAAAATTTTCTATAAGCATGTTAAGTTTTTAATTACAAAAACTATTACCTAATATTAGTTTTTACAATTCTGAAAAAAATTATCATAGGAAAAAGTCAAAAGGGAGTCAGAAGAATAATTTAGGTGATTTAAAGGGTATAAGCTTTCTTTTTGGAGTGATAAAAATGCTTTAAAATTGACTGTGGTGACGGCTGCACAACTCTGTGAATACAATGAAAACCATTGAATTTTATAATTTAAATGGGAGAACTGTATGGTATGTGAATTCTATTTCAATAAAGCTTTTACCAGATGAAGAATATATAGATATGTTACATATATATAAATATAATGTACAAAGAGTTTAAACTCAAAAAGTGTGTATTTTATTAGAATCAGCTAAATTAAGTATAACAAATAAAGTTTTTGAGATGAAAAATAAAAATACATTTTCTATAAAAATGTGGTTTTCATATAGAACTACTTATGAAACATTAAAGGTAGGGATTCATGACTGACAAAATTCAAAGAATTATTTCCATTTCAAATATACCAATAATTTCTACAGTTTAAAAATAATGTACCCTTCAAGTAACAAATATCACTATTAAAACAAGTGCTTAGTGTTAATGCCTTACTTGTCTGTAGTCTCGCTCTCTAAGAAGATGTTCTAAAGCTAGTTTTACACTTTTGAAAGTGTCTAATTCTTTTGTTAATATTTCCTTCTGTTCGGAAATCTTCAAATTCGATGCTGAAAGATTCGCCTGACAAATTACAAGAACCACATACACATTTTAAGACACAGCATTAAGTAAAACCCTCTAAAATATGATACTATCAAACATATTTTTTCCTAACAAAATCATTCTTTTGTGCATAGTAATAATGTTACAAAATTTGTAAATTGGATCTGTTATACAGTACATTAAAATAAAATGAAATCAAAATAAGAGCTTATATTCTAAAAACATTTTAGGCTTTTAAATAAAAGTTATAGAAGATAATCTATTGTTTGTCCCTAATGTAAACTTTAATATGCTGGAACTTAAAAATAGTTCTCTATTCCAAATAATACTATCGAAAACTGATACATTTCACCTCTCAGAAGATTTTAGTTTTAAATTCGCTCTTCAGAAAAGCTGATTTTCTAGTTCAACTCCAGTTAATTCAAGCACCCAAAATATATTGTTTCTAGCTTAGCCTCTTATCAGGTGTATGCCTAAGATTATGTTTCAGGAAAAGAATTGTAGTTAATGACACGGGAATAAAGAATTCTGATAAACCCTCATTTTTGGTATTAAATACTCATATGTGAGCATACCTACATAAAATGAGAGACCTCAGTTAATGCATTCTGAGTAATATACTAGCTTTTCATTTTATTATATATTCATAAGTCACTCACATTTTCAAAATTAATCTTTTCAATGGTGTCCTTAAATAGTGGCAAAAGTAATTCTATAGAACAAGTTACCAACTCCGCTTCCTTAAGTGTCGCTTCCAATTCAGTCTTTTCATTTAGGATGTCCTGCTTCAGGCTAATTACAAATGCACATACAAAATTTAAGTTAAATCCAACTTCATTTAAAGATGCTCCTCAGAAATGCCATATCACGTATACAGTACTCTTACTAGCAAGGACAACTTTTAGTCCAAAAGCAGCTCGAAACTTGGACTTTGAGTGTAAGCAAATTTTAAGAATACCTTATTTTACTTATATTTTACTTGTATGTAATCACAAAAGTTATTTGGGTTAAAGACACATGTATAGTTAAGTTTGAAGGAGCATTTTCAATATCTATAAATAAAATTCCAAGTGATATGGAAACTCTTTAATTGGCAGCTTTTCTCTTTCTTTGTAAAACGTAAAGGCTCATTGACAACTGACAGCATCCTAGAGGCTATGTCAAAAATATGTGTTAAGTACAACTGGCTTAAAGTAAGGAGCCTAAGAACATTCTATCTATAAATGACACCTGTCCCTTATTAAAAATCATAGGCAGAAAGTCAAGTATGATTATAGATGATAAAATATTATTTTCATTTATAACAAGTTAAACCAGAAGCTGGACTAAGCTATCCATACTGACAGTAATGGTATACTAAGATTGCCACTTGGCAGGGGGCAATATTTCATGTAAATAACAAGTGTATTCCCCACTCTAAAGAAGTATGACAAGTATTTGCTATATAGTAATATACGAAATGACAGTGATTTCACATGCATTAACTACATTTCTGATATCACATATTATTACATTTTCATTTATCTTAAATAGCTTTATTTTACAAATTCTTAACAGATGAGGTTTTCATTTTTTTTTCTTTTTCTTTTTTGAGATGGAGTCTCGCTCTGACACCCAGGCTCTGTCACCCAGGAATGTAGTGGTGCTATCTCGGCTCACCGCAACCGCAACCTCCACCTCCTAGGTTGAAGTGATTCTTCTACCGCAGCCTTCCAAGTAGCTGGAACAACAGGCACACGCTACCACATCTGGCTAATTTTTGCATTTTTTCACTAGAGATGAGGTTTCACCATGTTGGCCAGGCTGATCTTGAACTCCTGACCTCAAGTGATCCACCTGCCTCATTCTCCCAAAGTACTGAGATTATAGGTATGAGCCATTGCGCCCAGCCAGGTTTTCATTTTTAATTGCTTTCATTCAGATTCAAAAAAACTAGCTGAATTCTGCTAGATGAGTACCTTTGTAATCAGATTAAATATATTTTAATAAATAAATACTAGATTTGAAAAAGATACTCTTAAAAGAATGCTGTATTTGATTCAAATAATTTATATTATGGACAAAACAGGAAATTCTGAAATCAGAAATTTAGATTTCCCCTGATACTGATGAGAATACCAGCTGAGATGACTTTCACTGGTACACCGTGGTAAATCTTCTTTCTCTGATATAGTTTTAAGATGGGAAAAGAGTTCTTCTGAATGACTTCCATCATTTATAGCCGTCTCCATAAACTCAGTAAATGGATTTAAAGGTGGCTTCACAGCAACTTCTCCACATAAGCTGAAACCTAGGAAATATTTTAGTTATTAAATTTATCTCAATAGAGATTTTTTTGTCATTACTCTCTCATAAAAAATAAAGGTTATAAGGATGTGTAAAAGAATAACATTTCAAAGACAAAATAAAAAGTATAACTGCTACTCATTGTGATACTAATTCAAAATTGTATCAAAATTGCATAGCACAACCACTCAACAATAGCCAATTTCCATACACTGTTTCCAAAAGGCCTGATAATTCCTAAATAATCACAACAGTGTCAAAATCTTTATTAGTCTATTTCTTGAAGTACTACAATATTTGAACCCAGCAGGACTATAAAACAAATATAAAAACCATGGGTTACTTATAGTTTGTCTTATTAGGCCCATGCCATAAGAAATGTATGTTATTTATGCCTAAATCTGTAGAAATCTAACTTTTCAAAGACTTGGCAACAATAGCTACAAAGGATAGGATATTCAATTGCAAGCAGACTTTTCAAAAGTAAATTCACTTACTCCTATTCCCAACTCAATCTAGAATATTGGTGATAATGAAAAGAACAGACAGACATTACTTCCAAATTTTACTAATGTAATTGTTTTTACTCACACCTGTAGATGTCACTTTAAAAATGTGAATATTTATGAATTTCTTCAAAACTACTCCAATTGAAGTAATGAGTTAGAGCTTTGGCAACCATTAAGGCTCTGTTTTCCCAACTCTAACAGTACATGGTAATGTGTTCCCTGACTTCATTTTATGTTTACACAAAATCAAAGGTTATATTCAAGGTTTTCTACATTTTTTTCAGATATTTACCTCTTGTAATTTAGTTTTGTATGTCTATATTACAAAACATATTATATTCAAGAATTTTTAACACTTAAGAGTAGAAGTGATATTACAGGTTGAAGATTATTTATATTAGCCATTCAGAAACCTTCCAAAGTGTTCATAAAATGTACTTATTTTATCTGAATGTCCTATATACTGTAGGGACAAATATTTAGGAAACAGGTCAATGAAGTATGGTCATATTTTTTAAATACCAGAAAGTGAAGTCCAAAAGGAACTGCTAAGTAACCAACTTAGTCTAGGATGATTCCCTTGAATGCTGCAAATATGCAACATCTATTACAAGGGTATAACAATATTTTGAGCTATCTATAGACTAGAAGAATTACAAGTATACAAAATCAAATAAAAAACCAAGCCTAAAAGTTAAGAATATGCTCGGGATAAGTCACTGCAATCAAGAGAACCATCATCTACTAATTCGTTCAGTTGCAATAGCTATCCCATACAGAAAGCAACTGGTACCAACCCTTCACTTGTTTAAATATTTGTCATATTTGTCTCTCTGTGGACTGGAATCTCAAGAAAGAATGTCTTTTTTATATTTCAATCCTCAGCACCTACAAGCCTCGTAAAAGCTAAGCAAAAATTGAAGGAAAACACATAACACTTAGAGCTCTTAAAAAATATAATGACTAAAAACTGTTTACCTTTTTTTAAATTCACCCCTTGATTTGTCTTTTCAGGGATCATTAAAAGAAAAATGGTTCCTATATTTGCAATAAATGTTTAAAAAACAATGTAAGAAGACAGAAATTTTCAATTTGTAAAAAATATTTTACAAGATAAGACTAGTTTGGTATCAGTATTTTATACACAACTTTTCTAAAAGTTTTATCATAAAATAAAGTCATAAAATTTTTCTGCTTCATCACCTATAATTGGTAACTGCCACTTATCTTAAAGGGTAAACAAATAAATAATAAAATCAATACACTGTAAAAACAGGAATTCAGAATGACTTTCTACCTAACATTCTAAAATGGAATCTACATTACTGATTTCTCAACACACAAGGAAGAGAACTATTTGTCTCAGGTATTGCCATGAAAATTGTCAACAATCATCTTCTCCAGGATAAATACTGTTCAGATTCCAAGGCACTCCACTGCCTTTGTGTTGTGATAACTGTATAACAAAAAATATGTTGAACAAAAATGTAATAATTTTCTTTAGCATAAAAAGTCCAACTTTATAAGAAATGCTATCGTTTTATTGGATCAAATGTATTCTTGCATAGAAAAGCAGACATTTCACAATAAGATGTTTTTAGTAATGTAGAATATACTGTTAACTGACAAATGTATTGTACTTTTGTACAACTTGTCAGTGGTGGGTAAAACAAAGACACATATTCTGTATACATGTTTAATGATCAAATCCTTTTAAAGATAACTTAAAAATTCTTCAAACTGAACGATAAGAGTGACACAATCTATCAAAACCTCTGGGATACAGCAAAGGTGGTGCTAAGAGAAAGGTTCATAGCCTTAAACGCCTACATCAAAAAGTCTGAAAGAACACAAACAGAAAATGTAAGGTCACATCTCAAGAAACTAAAGAAACAAGAACAAAACAAACCCAAACCCAACAGAAGACAGGAAATAACCAAGATCAGAGCAGAACAAAATGAAACTAGAAACAAAAATACAAAAGATAAATGAAACAAAAAGCTGGTCCTTTGAAACGATAAATAAAATTGATAGACCATTAGCAAGATTAATCAAGAAAAGATTCAAATAAGCTCAATTAGAAATGAAACAGGAGATATTACAACTGACACCACAGAAATACAAAAGATCACTCAGGCTACTATAAACACCTTTACACACATAAACTAGAAACCCTAGAGGAGATGGATAAATTCCTGGATACAACCCTCCTAGCTTAGATCAGGAAGAATTAGAAACCCTGAACAGACCAATAACAAGCAGTGAGACTGAAACAGTATTTTTAAAATTACCAACAACAATAAAAAAGTCCAGAACCAGACAGATTCACAGCTGAATTCTACCAGACATTCAAAGAAGAATTGGTACCAATCCTATTGACACTATTCCACAAGATACAGAAAGAGAGAATCCTCTCTAAATCATTCTATGAAACCAGTGTCACCCTAATACCAACACCAGGAAAGGACATAACCAAAAAGGAAAACTATAGACCAACATCCCTGATGAACACAGATGCAAGAATTCTTAAAAGGTCAGGCGTGGTGGCTCACACCTGTAATCCCAGCACTTTGGGAGGCCAAGGTGGGTGGATCACGAGGTCAGGAGTTCAAGACCAGTCTGGTGAAGATGGTGAAACCCTGTCTCTACTAAAAATACAAAAATGAGCTGGGCATCCTGTAATCCCAAGCTGAGGCAGAGAAGTGCTTGAATCGGGAGGCAGAGGTTGCAGAGGGTCAAGATCGTGCCACTGCACTCCAGCCTGGCAACAGAGCGAGAGTTCATCTCAAAAAAAAAAAAGAAAAAAAAACCTTAACAAAAGACTAGCTAACCGAATCCAACAACATATCAAAAAGATAATCCACCATGATCAAGTGGGTTTCACACCAGGGATGCAGGGATGGTTTAACACCCACAAGTCAATAAATGTGATACACCACATAAACAGAATTAAAAACAAAAATCACATGATCATCTCAACAGATGCAGAAAAAGTGTTTGACAAAATCTAGCATCCCTTTATGATTAAAACCCCCAGCAAAATCAGCATACAAGGGACATACCTCAAAAGTCATCTATGACAAACCCATAGCCAACATAATACTGAATGGGGAAAAGTTGAAAGCATTCCCTCTGAGAACTGAAACAAGACAAAGATGCCCACTCTCACCACTTGTATTCAACATAGTACTGGAAGTCCTAGCCAGAGCAGAGAAGAGAAAGAAATAAAGGGCATCCAAATCGGTAAAGAGGAAGTCAAACTGTTGCTGTTTGCTGATGGTATGTATCTATACCTAGAGAATCCTAAAGACTTCTCCAAAAAGCTCCTAGAACTGATAAATTCAGCAGTTTCAGAATACAAAATTAATGTACACAAATCAGTAGCACTGCTATACACCAACAGTGACCAAGCTGATAATCAAATCAAGAACTCAACCACTTTTATTTATAATAGCTGCAAAAACAAAACAAAATAAAATAAAATACTTAGGAATATACCTAACCAAGGAGGTGAAAGATCTGTATAAGGAAAACTATAAAACACTGCTGAAAGAAATCATAGATGACAAAAACAAATGGAAACACATCCCATGCTCATGGATGGGTCAAAACAACATTGTGAAAAGGGCCATACTGCCAAAAACAATCTATAATTTAAATGTAATTCGCACCAAAATACCATCATCATTCTTAACAGAACTAGAAAAAACAATCCTGAAATTCACATGGAACCAAAAAAGAGCCCACATAGCCAAAGCAAGACTAGGTGAAAAGACATCACATTACCCAATTTCAAACTATACTACAAGGCCACAGTCACCAAAACAGCATGGTCCTGGTATAAAAATAGGCCCACAGACCAATGGAACAGAATAGAGAACCCAGACATAAACCCAAATACTTACAGCCAACTGATATTTGACAAAGCAAGCGAAAACATAAAGTGGGGAAAAGACACCCTATTCAACAAATGGTGCTGGGATAACTGGCAAGCCACATGTAGGAGAATGAAATTGGATCCTCATCTCTCACCTTATACAAAAATTAACTCAAGATGGATCAGAGACTTAAATCTAGGCCTGAAACTATATAAATCTAAGACCTGAAACTATAAAATTCTGGAAGATAACATCAGAAAAACCCTTCTAGATATTGGCTTAGGCAAAAATTTCATGACCAAGAACCCAAAAATAAATTCAATAAAAACAAAGATAAATAACTGAGACTTAATTAAACTAAAGAGCTTTTGCATGGCAAAAGGAATAGTCAGCAGAGTAAACAGACAACCCACAGAGTGGGAGAAAATCTTCACAATCTATACATCTGACAAAAGACTAATATCCAAAACCTACAATGAACTCAAATTAGCAAGAAAAAAAACAAACAATCCCATCAAAAAGTGGGCTAAGGACATGAATAGACAATTCTCAAAAGAATATATACAAATGGCCAAGAAACACAAAAAAAATGCTGAACATCACATCAGGGAAATGCAAATCAAAACCACAATGTGATACCACGTTACTCCTGCAAAAACAGCCATAATCAAAAAATAGTAACAGACGTTGGCATGGATGCGGTGAAAAGGGAACACTTCTACACTGTTGGTGGGAATGTAAACTAGTACAACCACTATGGAAAACAGTATGGAGATTCCTTAAAGAACTAATAGTAGAGCTACCATTTGATCCAGCAATCCCACTACTAGGCATCTACCCAGAGGAAAAGAAGTCAATATATGGAAAAGATACTTGCACATGCATGTTTATAGCAACACAATGTCCATCAATCAATGAGTAAAAAAACTGTGATACACATATATATATATATGATAGAATACTACTCAGCCATAAAAAGGAATAAATTAATGGCATTCACAGCAACATGGATGGAATAGAAGACTTAACTTAAAGTGAAGTAACTCAGCAATAGAAAACCAAACATCATATGTTCTCACTCATAAGTGGGAGCTAAGCTACGAGGATGCAAAGGCATAAGAATGAATCAGTGGACTTTGGAGACTCAGTATGAAAGGGTGGGAAGGGGCTGAGTGATAAAAGACTACAAATTGGATTCAGTGTACACTGCTCAGGAATGGGTGCACCAAAATCTCACAAATCACCACTCAAGAACTTACTCATGTAACCAAACACCACCTGTTTCCAAAAAATCTATGGAAATAAAAAATTTTTAAAAACCATTTAAAAATCCTTAAAGATGAGCAATTTTAAAACATTTTAAAATGTTTAAAGATTTAAATTTCCTATACAGAGACAATTTTGCCAGTCTACTGCCAAGAGGACATGTACTTAAAATCTTTTCCAGGAGTGCTCTGTAGGCTATGCTGATCCAGCTACATTCACTAAACTATGTTCCATTTTGGCCAACAGCAAGCATTTGGGGATAACTGTTCAGGGACCATGATGCTAGCCATGGCCAGAGAAAAAGGAAAATCATGGTACATGACCTTCCTTAACACCTAGATCAGACTAAGTAAACTAACCAACTTCAGACAAACACGTATTTTAAAGCAATCTCTCTGAAGAGAATAGCACACGAATCCTGCAGATTTTGTTTTGCCAAACACGAATTCTTAGAAAACTAATTTCCACTGGCTTCAAACACAGCTTCCACTGAAAAAAGTCACCATGAAATATTCAGCAAGGAACACAAAGTAGATACAGGAATGCTGTTTTTTTCCCCTTACTATTCTGGACACTAGACAAAAGTTTACTAGAGAGGTAATTGTATGGGGGAAAAAAAAAAGGACAGGAAGCTTGGAAACAGGCAAAAAGCTGGAAAATAAATCTTATGGGTAAAAGCTACCAAAGTGGAAAAAGCATTTTCTGATACAGAGAGATTATATTAGATAACTAATTCACTAATGCCTTTCTCCAATGAATAAAGAAGGATGTATATTTAAAAGATGGGCTGCAGATTGGATAATATAGGCAGAAAAGTTGACAGCAAGAGTGACTGGTCTGTAAACACGGCTGTACTTCAAAGCCAACATCCCATTTCCTTCTCAAAGTGTTGCCCTGATTTCTCCAGCCCACCAAGAACTCTAAAAAAAGGTATTTTCAGAATCCTATAGTTTAGAATTAAATTGCTCCATAAATGTTCATATTTTAGTTTTCTTTTAAACTTGCTATTAACCGTAAGGACAAATATAAGCATCACTCTCTGCCCTAAAAAATTACCTAACACAGTGGAGAGCATAGATTAGGTTTTCAAATATAAGTTAAGGTGACTAAATTATTTATTGTTTACACTCAGACACTTTTAAGTGTCCATACAGAGCCCAATTACCCGGAAAAAGGCTGGGCCAAAGATGTTCAGAATACTGTCTAATCCCAAACAAAGCCACCATTCTTTACCAGATAAACATAAAGCATATTCCTTTCCTTCAACATGACAGCTGTTGCCATTTACTGAGCAGAGCACTGACTGACCTTATAAACATCTCACAAAAGCTTCACAAGGTTGCTATTAAAAAGCTATAAATAAGGAAATTAAATCTTAGAAGGGTTAAATAGCTTGCCCAAGGTTACAAGTAAGGAATTGGTGGAACTTAGCTTTGAATTAAAAGTCATGAGATGGTGAAAACCCGTCTCTACTAAAAATACAAAAAGTAGCTGAGCCTGGTGGTGGGCACCTGTAGTCCGGACTACTCGAGAGGATGAGGCAGGAGAATCACTTGAACTCTGGAGGCGAAGGTTGCAGTGAGCCCAGATCGCGCCACAGCACTCCACTGCGACAGAGCAAGACTCCATCTCAAAAAAAAAAAAAAAAAGTCATGAGATACTAACACATAAATATAAAAATCTACAAAGCAAAAAGTTAACACACAAACTTGCCTTAATTCAGTCAGGTTTTAATACTCATAAATTCAATTTAGATTCAAAAGATGAAGACTGTTCTACACAAGGAAATGCAGGAAATGAGTAATGAATAAAGATTGAGCTACCTAAAAGCACAGACTACAATTCTAAAGAGGGAGAGCACACCGCGACCAGATCACTAAATTCTGTTGTTCTGAAGTTTGTCACAGGGAACTTTTAGGATAGAAAAACTGCACTATAAATACACATCCATTGTGAAATTAGAAGATGAAAAAGAGAAGCAAAAAGCAGATCACAAACAAGATCATGCCATTCTTACTATAAGTGGAACATCACAATTTCAAAAGCAGACAGGTTTTCTGCGGTTTGTTTCTTTAACCATAACTAAGTTGCACTTAAAACTCCAAGAACCTCATTCATTCAAAAACACTTGAAACCGTACTAAGCGTTGGGTGATGAAGAAACTGTCTTCAAAATAGACTTTATCCCCAACAGCAGCCCCAGTATGGTTATTCTCAGTAAACAACAAGCACCACCACTCACTAACCACCTACATTCGGTGCCACCTTAATGGCCCTGCGCTTATTTAATCTCGTATTACAACCACCCCAAAGTGATGATTACTGTCTCTATTTTACAGTTATCAGTAAGCAAGCCAGGAAGGTTAAGTGACCTAGACAAGGCCACACAGCGGGTTCAGTGGCAGAGCTGGGACTGAACACAAGTCGGCCTTTAGCACTCTCCACGACCCTAGGCCAATCCCGCACTACAGGGGTCGCCTATAGGTGCTGGGACCTAGAGGAATCCTGGAGAAGGAATTATTTCCTGAGGATTCCTGGAATATGCCTCACTTACGAAGCCCCCAGGGCTTCCCACAATCTGATATATAACATGAGGGGCGCTTAAAAGCCAGCCCAGTGATTAAGAGGTCACTATTTCTGAAAGAAACGCAACCATATCCAGGAACGGCCCAGTCAGGACTTGGTTCTGGACAAGCCCACCTCACGCTAACATCTGCCCTGATGTCCCAGGGACCACACCCTTCCTAAGAGCGAGTCTCGCCGCCCTTTTCCCAGGCCAGGTAGTCAGCCTGAGGGAGGTGGAGGGTTTACGCGGAGGGGGCTGGGTGGGCGCGAGGGCCTTTTATTTCCGGGACCCACCACAGCCCTCACCTCCACACCTCCAGGGGCGCCCACGGTAAACGCCCAGCAACAGCTTTGCTCCCCACAAAGTTGTCCCCAACCCAAAAGGCGTACCTACGCCCCCACCGCTGCGTCCGCACGTCGTCGTGACGTCAGCCCGCCGTCGCCGCGCTATAAAAAGGGTCAGAGGCACCACGGCTGCTGCAGTGGAAACTCTGGCAATCCTTCCTGTAGTGTGGGTCGGCTAGGAGGGAGCGGGACGCAGGAGGCACTACAGTGGGTAGAGTAGGAAGGAAGGCAAGGGACGCGAAGTGGGAAGCAGGCGAATTCCTAGACCTGCTTGCCGCGGAAGAATCCCCTCTCAAGTGGAACAAAAGCTCAGCTAGTAACCGGCTAGTGGCTTCTCTGGCAACGGCGTCTCCGCCCCTCCCGTCAGGCCCGCAGCAGGCTGTGGATTGGTCCGGGTTAGGGACGGCGGAAAGCGCCTGTAGCTATTGGCGAGGGTGAGGGACGGGGCAGGGAGGGGAGCTTCGTCTATCCTTGTGTCTCGGATAAGCCTTTTTTTTTTTTTGAGCGTTTGTTTCTGGAAAAGGACGGCACTTGTGCACATTATCGAAAGTCATAACTGAGCCCAACTAGAAAAAAAGGACATAAAGCCAATTCCGAGTTTTCTGGCGCTTGGCCTGTATGTGTTCTGCTTTCGCGCTTTTTTTTTTTTTTTTTTTTTGAGACGGAGTATCGCTCTGTCGCCCAGGCTGGAATGCAGTGGCGCGATCTCGGCTGACTGCAAGCTCCGCCCCCCGAGTTCACGCCATTCTCATGCCTCAGCCTCCGGTGTAGCTGGGACTACAGGCGCCCGCCACCATGCCCGGCTAATTTTTTTTTTTTTTTTTTTTTGTAGTTTTAGTAGAGTCGGGGTTTCACCGTGTTAGCCAGGATGGTGTCGATTTCCTGACCTCGTGGTCCGCCCATCTCGGCGTCCCAAAGTGCTGGGATTACAGGCGTGAGCCCCCGCGCCCGGCCTGCTTTCACTTTTTAAAGGAAAGATCTGAAAACGTGAAGGCAACTGCGACCGGAAGAAACCACCTTTTAAATGTATAGTGGTATTTTTAGCTGAGATGCCTCCCTGGGCCTCAGGTTTTTTCCTGTTAAATGAGGGAGCGTGATGATGTTCTCCAAGGTGACTTCAAGGTCTCAAAGTCTTTTGTATCTGCGTTACAGCCAGCTGGTCTGGTTTTTAAAGTCCTGAAGAAGCAAAGCAAGATTTAATTCGGAAAAAATCTTCATTCAACGCCTCTACTTAATATTCATCTTAAGAATCGTACACCAACATAGGAAGTTCACAGGTAGAGCAACTGTCAACTGAGCCGTAACCGTGGCATACTGCTACCTAATAATTGGTTTCACTAAAGCACTCCAGCAATGCTTTTCCCCCACTACTGTAATTGTCCCTTTTAATAATTTAAAGCGAGAGACAGAATTAATACATTTTCAGTAAAGGGCCAGTAATATGGTTAGGCTTTGAGTCCCCAACCACATCCCATCTTCAATTGTAATCCCCATAATCCTCATGTGTCAAGAGAGAGACCAGGTGAAGGTAATTGAATCATGGGGGCAGTTTACCCCATGCTGTTCTCCTGCCAGTGAGTTCTCAAGTGATCGGATGGTTTTGTAAGGGGCTCTTCCCCCTCCACCGGGTACTTCTTACTGCTGACTTACTAAGAAGGTGCCCTGCTTCCCCTTCACCTTCCACCATGATTGTAAGTTTCCTGAGGCCTCCCCAGCGACGTTGAACTGTGAGTCTTATTGAATAAACCCCTTTCCTTTATAAAGTATCCAGTCTCGGGCAATTCTTTATAGCAGTATGAAAATGGGCTAATACAGCCAGATAGTAAGTATTTTATTAATGGATTTTGCAAGTCATATGGTCTCTGTGATAGTATTTATCTCTGCCATTGTTGTACCAAGAAAAGCCATAGATGATACATAAATGTAAACATATGAGCTCACTAAAGTACATTTGTGTGTAGGATGCAACACTACGGTGTTGGGTAGAAATTGTGATTTCTACCTTCATGGCAACCAATAGGGACTAGAATGTAAAAATAGCAAACAATGAAATAGAATAAAGATACTTGAATACAAATAATACTTCAAAATTAAAAAGCAATATTTTAGATAACCTTCTGTTTGCAGAGGACAAACAGAAGGTTAAAATGAAAGTGTGATGGAGAATCACCACCTTTACGTCTTTGCACTCTTTAATAGTGCCACTAATCACTGGAATTCTCCTAGAACTATGGTATTGCCTTTGGTTTAATCTTTTAGTAGATAGGGGCAGTTCAAAAGGCTTCCACTTTGTCTTCCCATTATAATAGCCATGAGTCAAAAAGCCAATGTCAAGATGCTATAAATCTCCTTTAAGGTTATGACATTCAGGTCTCTTCATTAGTTCTGGTAAATTTTTTGCTGTACAAATTAAGTAGAATCTTAGTAGACTATCCATTTCAATTACAGGGACACTGATTAATTATCAACTCCTAAAGATCCCCGCTTAGTCAAACAACATGATACGTCCTGCTGGTATCATGGTAACAACAGGTATCTCATCTCTGATGGCTCAGTAGTATCACCTGGCCTCTATCCCTTTGGGATCTTACTATTTCCATTAGAAAATTAGGGGTTTCATGCAATGGCAACATCTTCGTCCCCAGGCTTATAGAATAGCAGCTACAGAGCTTTTAAAGGATTCTGGCATTCCCTATATTTTCTCAATGCTTTAGTAAAAAGAAGGTCCTTTGACCCTCTCAGAACACCTTTGAAAGGAGATGACTGGTTCACACATGATAAATCTATTCCTACAGTACTATTCCCTAAGTCTTCCTTAAAAGTTGATACATACTAGATGTACATATTTTCAGGGTACATGTGATAATTGGATACATTTATATGAATGTGTAATGTGTAAAGATCAAATCAGGATAGTCAGGATATCCATCACCTTAAATATTTATCTTTATGCTATGAACATTCAAATTGTTCTCTTCTAGTTATTTTGAAATATACAATAGATTATTGTTAACTATAGTCACCCTACTTATCTGTCAAACACTGAGTCTTATTTCTTCTATCTAACTGTATGTCTGCACTCATTAATCAACCTCTCTTCATTACCCCCTTCCCTAAGTCTTTTAATTCATTCCTCTAAAATCAAGACATTTCTAACATCTCAACTGTATTTAGTTTCAACCAACCAACTGAGCAAACCTTGACAGCCACTCCCAGATGTTCAAAGCAAGCACAGTGAATTATGGTCTCTGGTAAATATGTTCATATTAATATCTTGGACACATCAAAATATTCCTTCATCCCTGGTCTGCCACACTTGGAATTCATTATTTTCCATAGGCTTCTGCCAATATAAATAAGCAAAATCTTGCACTTTTTTGGTATGAAAGCCTTCTCCCAGGTCAGATCTTACTTCTTCTATCTAACTGTATGTCTGCACTCATTAATCAACCTCTCTTCATTACCCCCTTCCCTAAGTTCTTTTAATTCAATCCTCTAAAATCAAGAGATTTTAGAAACAAACTGTTTAAGAACAGCCTACTATATAGTAGTATTTCATTGTGTAAATATACCACAATTTGCTTATTAGCGCTCCTGTTGATAGATATTTAGGTTGTTTGCAGCTTTTAGTTATTATGAATAAGGCTGCTATAAGCATTCTTTTTTTTTTTTTTTTTTTTTTTTTTTGAGACGGAGTCTTGCTCTGTAGCCCGGGCTGGAGTGCAATGGCCGGATCTCAGCTCACTGCAAGCTCCACCTCCCAGGTTTGCGCCATTCTCCTGCCTCAGCCTCCGGAGTAGCTGGGACTACAGGCGCCCGCCACCTCGCCCGGCTAGTTTTTTGTATTTTTAGTAGAGATGGGGTTTCACCGTGTTAGCCAGGATGGTCTCGATCTCCTGACCTCGTGATCCGCCCGTCTCGGCCTCCCAAAGTGCTGGGATTACAGGCTTGAGCCACCGCGCCCGGCCTAAGCATTCTTTAAAAGGCATTTTATTAACATATGCTTTCATTTTTCTTAGTTAGGAGTATGTTTAACTTTACCAGCAGTATATGATGCTTCCTGTTGCTTCACATCCTTGCCAACATTTAGTAAAGCAGTATTTTTTATTTTCACTGTTCTAGGGTATGTGAGGTGGCAGCTCACATGGATTTCAATTTGTGTTTTTTTGGTAATGAATCACGTTCAGTACCTTTCAGTTATTGACCATTTGTACATGATTTATGAAGTGTTGTTCAAGTCTTTTACCCATTTTTGTATTGGATTGTTGTTTTATTGTTGATTTTCAGGAGTTGTTTACATATTCTGAAAAACGATTTGTCAGATATATGTAACTAATGTTTTCCTCCTATTTCTTATCTATCTATTTTCTTAATGGTATCTTTTGAAGAGAAGAAAATTTTTATTTGAGACATCTAACTTACCAGTATTTTTCTTTTCTAGCTTAATGTACCACAACTCCACATTTGTGAAGTTGCCATGTTTTCTTTTAGAAGTTTTATTATTTGAAGCTTTCATAAGTAAGTATATGACGTATCTTGAATTAAGTTTTTTAGGAATGATGTAAGGCGTCAAGATTCCCTTTGTTTTATACAGATACCCAATGTGGTACCACCATTTATTTAAAAGACTTTCTCTTCCCCATTGAATTAATTTAATGCTTTTGTTGAAAATGATTAGACCATATGTGTGTGTGTGTTTATTTCTGGACAATCCATTCTAATAATTTATAATCGAAACATTTGCCTACATCACATTCTCTTGATTACTGTAATTTTATATAAGTCTTAAAATTGGGTAGACTCCATTTACTACAAAGATGGTTGTCCACAGGGTAAGTAGGACAAGAATTGAGCAAAGTCTTGGGGGAACAGAACAACATTGCTTTTACAAGATAGAGTATCAGCGCATATCTTAGTTTGGAGTGCTATAACAAAAATATAGACTGGGTGGCTTAAACAACAGAAATTTGAGAAGTCCAAGATCAAGGTGCCAGCCATTTGGTTCCTGGTGAGGGCCCTCTTCTTGATTTGCAGAAGGATGCCTTCTTGTTTTACTCCCACATGGTGAGGAGAGGAGGGAAGCAAGCTCTTTCATGTTTCTTCCTTTTATAAATAATAAGATCTTTGCTTTGTATAGAATTATAAATTACAAACTATTATTTTGCTTAATCCTTTTAACCAACATGAGGTGGGCATGTTGGAGGATATTAACTCCCATTTTACAGGCAGAGTGAAAACACTGTAGCCATTTTTAGTATAAAAGCTGGGATATAAGACCTGGGATTCCATATTCACCACTGCTTTTTTCCATGACTTTGTGATACATCATTTAAAAGTAATCTGATTTCACAGTGTT